GAGGGAGAGGGAGAGGGAGAGGGAGAGAGAGAGAGAGAGAGAGAGAGAGAGAGAGAGAGAGAGAGAGAGAAAGAAAGGTAGACCAAATATGGACAAGGTTGTCAAGAAATTATGCAGGAGTATCTGAGGTTGGCAGGAGTTGACATGCTTGATGGGTAAAGCCACCTGTTGCCACACCTGACAGGCGTTAGTCCTTAGGACCCCCTTGGTAGAAACGGAGAACTGGATTCTACCAGCTCTCCTCTAACGTGGGCAGCTCGTATGCAGGGCACATGGGGTCAGCCGAGCTCCGGCAGGATGGAGCAGCCTCCACGCCTGCCCTGCCATCTGCAGCAGAGGTGGCCTCATTCCCAGTCAGCCCATCTAAATTTTAACTCTCCAGTTAGAGAGAAAGGATAATGGACTCCTTTTGTGTGCTGAGTGGAAATGACGTGAGGGCAAATGGTTTTGGATCTGAGAGAAAGCAGAGGCACGTTGTTCTAACAAGCACCTGCCTTGGTGGACGGAAGTGTGAACATTTTAATCTTATGCAAGAAACACATTGTGGAAAAACTTCCCCATGTAAATTTGACCAGCTAACTTTGAGATAGGACTCTCTAACAAACCCACATTCTACATTTTATTTTAGGATTCATCCCTAAATAAAGATAAATTGAATCTGTATTTTTGTACTTTCTTTTTAACAGTATTCCAAATATATACACTATACCATTTCTTGTCATCTATCATCTCCGTTCCTTTCCATAGCTTAATTTTCACTGTAGAAATGCCATCGAAAAGCAGAGAAAGGTTTATGGAGGGATTAAACTGTATTTGCGAATTATCTAAGTCACTTGTAGTGGTATATATTGTCGTACTGGCGTTTTTTAAGTTCCTCCTCTGACATTTGCATATGATCTGTTATTTGAGACAAGGTGCAGGATATAGCAAGATTGACACTCAGTAGTAGGTTAACAGACTGGCAAGCAGATAACCATCCCCCTGCCTCAGCTTCCCTAATTCTGGAAATACAGGTGACTCTCTCATCTCTGTTCTTTGTTGCCTGACTTATACTCTAATACCACTGTCTAAGGAAGTATCAGGTATGACGCAAAGCTGAATAGAACAGGGTCTGTGCTTGTTAACTGCCCACCTGAGTTGCTGGGAGATTATTGTGCTTCAGAAGTGGGTTTTTTTCCTTTTGCATTATCATTGAATGGCATTGTTCTCACTTTTTAGAGTCATCTAAAACTAGCAGCTTCAAGAAGCAAGTAGTCAAAGGATCAAGCCTTCTGCACAAATCAACTTCTTCTGTGAAGAAGCATTTGCACAAAGGTAATGGACTCACTGGCATACTGGCGTGTGAGACAGAATTCTGCTCTTTTCCCACTGTTTCTATCTTCCAGTATTCTCAACACGAAGGCCCTTCCAACATCCAGCCAATATTAAACACACAATACTTTCCTTTTTTTTTCTTGTGTAAAAAGACACCTCAGTGGAGGGCTCTGTGGTTCAGCATAGTACTAAGATGCTGTGTGCTGATCCCCTTGTCTCTCACCCAGGCAAACCAATGGGTTTCCTTCATCTCTCACGCCCTTACTTAATATTCTGCATTATATTATGAAGTGAGAGTCCTTGACACTTTCTCAGTAGTTCCTCTCTATATTGCCTTTACATTTCTGTGGTTGTGACTACAGTCAATGGATGCCAGCAGTATCGTCATGCATTTCTTCTGCCTCTTTGTAACCGTGCAGTAGAAAGTGTGAGTTGAGTGGCCAGATTTAGGACTTGTCTGTTTTTAATTCAGTAGCTACTGTGTGGAATCTCTACATACCCATTCTAGAATGAGTGTAGTTAATGATTATGGCAGTAATTTCATGAGGAAACTGCTAGTTCTTAGCTCTAGACCTTTTAGGGATCCAAATGTTAAAAGATTAAATTGTATTAGTCAGTTGATGATAGCACAGAAAATGACCTAAAGATTCTGAGAAAATCCCTGGAATCCCAAAGATAGGTTGTAGAACTAGAAAATTCCATTCCGGGGGCTACAAATGTGGCTCAGAGGTTAAATAGCTTGCAATGAAAGAAAGAGGGTCAGAATTCAGATCCCTAAAACCCATGTAGAATGCACGGTGCACACAGCAGCCCATCTGTAATTCTAGGTTGCAGGGCAGAGACAGTATCCCCAGAGCAAGTTGACGACTGAGATTAATTATGTGAACCGGCTCTGCGTTGGATAAATAGATACTGCCTCGTGGAATAAGAGGGACGAGTGACGAGAGAAGATTCTCCACAAACACCTCAGACCACCACAAAAAAGTTCACAAAAGCACAAATAGCTACACAGAAGTATACATAGGCACACTTAGTGCAGATAATCCTGCCACACCTATGCATGTGAAGAGCACAATGGAAAAAATCAGTCTCACTCCTATGGAATCTTGAAGCAAAGTCATAATAAAGTTAATTGTGAACAACCAAGAAAGAATCGCACTTCACAATTTCAGAACTTAGGACACAGTTGAGTCACAACAGAGAGGTGACATAGACCAGTGATTTAGAAGAGAGAACCCGTAAGTAAAGTCCCACCTATGAGGTCAGGGACACCCAGACTACTCAGTGGGAAAAGGCAGTCCAGCACATAGGGTGCAGAAAAAAAAAATGTCCCCAAACAGAAGGTTACCTGAGCCCTTAGCTTAAACTGTGAACAAAAAATACTTCAGCATAAATCAAAATCCTCACAAATGAAAGTTAAACTTAAAAAAAAAACTTAGAAAAAAATATTGCAGAAACTTACAGTATCGCAGATTTAGCCATATATTGTGGAGCTGATATAAGATCCCAGTTAAAAAGGAAAACTTCAAATTAGGCTTCATCAGAATTAAGGTTTTTTTACCAGTTTTTTAAAGAAGCAGTGGTGGTAGGTGCTCCTTGGCTCCACTTCCTCCCGAGAACAGGCTGTGGACCATGTGTCTACTACCAGGAATGCATTGCGCCTCATGGAGCCGGCCTCAACTCCAATCACAAGGAGTTTGTTATTTTCAAAATGGTGATGTCACCATTGCACCAGTGGACATGTCTTGCCTGCCCATGATCAGTATTGTTGTTTACACGATACATGGCTGAATGAGACTGAGCTTTCTCCCCAGCAGCCTGCATTAGAGCTTCCAGCCCTGTTGACATTTGCCAACAGGAAAGAGTCTCCAGCTCAGTTCTGTCTTCATATCTCTGTGACAGAAACAAAGTGCACACTTTCTTGTCATCTAGCCCTGATTGGTAATGAGGAGCAGTAACAATAGCCAACCCTGGTGGGCACCTCCCAGACCTTCCTCACCAACAATGGGATGAGGTGACTGTATCATACTGCTCAAATGACTCAGGAAATATTGCAAAAAGGTGGCAGAAAGAACTTATAAGCAGGAAGATGGGGATCTTGAAGCTATGACATTGCTGCTGCAACCATAGATACACAAAAGCTATGGATTCTAGCCAGGATTGGACCTTTCAACTGTCCTTCAAGGAAAGAGGAGTTGCCAATTAGGCTCCGTCCAATGTCAGGAGCTGATGACTGCAAATGTTGGCAGAGGAAGATCTTTTCTTAATTCTCAGCAGTACTAAGAAAAGAGGATGTACGCAGAAATAAAGGAGAGGGGACACCAGAGGGCAATAGGCCGGTGAGCGCACTCATAGCTCAGTGGATGAACTTAGAAAACTCTAGAAGTAAGGAAAAAATAAATTTTGTGCATGAATAAAGTATTTTTAACTTTTATTTATTTTTATTTCATGTGCATGGGTGTTTGCCTGTATGTATGTCTTTGGAAAGGTGCCAAATCCTCTGGAACTGGAGTTATAGACAGTTGTGAATTGCCATATGGGTGCTGGGAATTGAACCGGAGTCATCTGGGAAGAGCAATCAGTGGCCTTAACCACTGAGCCACCTCTCCAGTCCCTGAAAACATTATTTTTATTTAATAGATAAGTATAACAGAAATAGAAGTGCAGCTGCAGCAGAAAAAAAGCTGCTCATAGGATGGGAGAAAATATGTATTTTTATGTATGGTAAGGATTCGTATTCAAAGACATGAAAATAGAGATATAAAATGCACATAAACCTGGAAAATATTATATCTAATACATATTTCCTTTAGACGATTCTGCAATGGCTCACTGAATATGAACATGATGACTGGTAGTGTGAGATAAACCGGACCCAAACTGCCAAGATATAGCACACTGTGTCCATTAAATGGCTGTTATTAGAGAACAAAAATGTGAGAGAAAAAAAAATCTCATTTATAAGTGTGAGAGAGCACCCTGTCCTGTGGTTACAACCTGAAATCCAAGGTCCTTGGGAAGCTGATGGAAAAGGATATCAGGCAGGGTATGCCGGCTCAGGCTTCTAATCTTGGCACTTGGGAGGCAGAGGCAGGCAGATCTCTGAGTTTGAGGCCAGCCTGGGCTACATAGCAAGTTCCAGGACAGCCAGGGCTACTTAGTGAGACTCTGTCTCCAAAAAGAAAAGAAAGGGAGAGAGGAAGGAAGGAAGGAAGGAAGGAAGGAAGGAAGGAAGGAAGGAAGGAAGGAAGGAAGGAAAAAAAGCTAATGCTGCACCTCCAACCTGTGCAGCGTGCTGAGATGATGAGGCCGTGTCTCAAAATCTCAAGAACAACAGGGTGGGACAGGTGGCGTTCGGGGATGGAGCACTTGTCTTGCATACAGAATGCCCAGGTTCAGATCACAGTGCTCGACACAAATAGAAAAGGAGGAAAAGGAGACCAAGCGCTGGCAGGTTTGTCAAACTGTGACTGATGAGATGGCTCAGAGGGTGTTTGGACCCAAACCTTTCGCAGGTTGAGCCCTAGATTCACATGGGAGAAACAGAGAACTGGCTTGGGCCAGTTGTCGTCTGACCCCACAGGAATGGTATACAGAATATGAACGCACTGTGTGGGCATTCACACATGTGTGCTCACACAAACACACACGCACACATACACAAACACACACACACAGAGACAAATAAAAATATAATTAAAAAAAAAATTAGGAGAGAAAAGAAATGAGTACCAAGGTAACATGGTATCACCTGAGCTCCAGCAGGCTTCAGCAACTTTCCCTTGACAGCTCCGCCATTTGCCTCCCAGGTGACCCCTGTCTGGTAACCTCTGCCTCATCCAGTAGGCTGAACGGGGACAACATGAGGACAGTAATTTTCCACCCGAGCGTCTGACATTGGGTCTGTGGGAGAACCCCAAGAGCCCACGATTGGCAAAGGCATTCGCCTTGGCAGATGGAAGTGTGACCATTTCATTCTCATCTGAGAAATACGAGTAGACACTGGAAGCATGCAAATTTGTCTGCACAGCTGTCTTAGCTAAGGCTTCTTCCATTGCTGTGATGAAGTGCCATGACCGAGGCAGCTTGGGGAAGAAAGGGTTTGTTTCACTCGCTGTTCCGTACAGCATTTCATCATCTAAAGCAATGAGGGCAGGACCTGGAGGCAGGAGCTGAGGCAGAGGCCGTGGAGGTGCTGCTTATTGACTTACTCCCCATGGCTTGCTCCGCCTGCTTTCTTAGAGAACCCAGGAACTCCTAGCCTAGGAATGGCACCACCCACAATGGGCTGGGCCCTCCCCCATCAATCACTAATTAAGAAAATGCCTTACAGCTGGACCTCATGGGGGCCTTTTCTCAACTGAGGTTTCTTCTTTCAGATAACTCTAGCTTGGCTGCTTCAGACAGAATCTAGTCCTCGTTCCTGAGTGTCATACTGATTAGCTGTGTTAGTGAAAGACCTTTTTCTCATTTTTCAGATAAGTCCAAGACTAAAACGTTAGGCAAGAACGTTGGTGAAGGCACATCTATGCTGCGTACGTCTGCCACTGCTAAGAAGAAGCGCGTACTCGGAGGTAGGAAAGGGAACGCATCCTTCATCCATCACATCTTCTCTTTTCTGCACGATGTTCCGAAAGGAGAATGTGCTGTGACCTATCCACCAGTTGCTTCTTCGGTGCCCTTTAAGTCTGTAGTGCTTGTATCATCAGAGCTGCGGTGTCAGGGTTTCTTAATTTTCCTATTATGTATGCTTATGTTTCTACATAAGTGTTGTCGGCTAAGGGGCCTGGATACTTTTAACTTTAAGAGACCAGCAGTTTATTTGAAAATTATGGATAATAGTTCTGCCAGTAAATAAGTGGAGAACCTATTTCTAAGTATCTTCTCCAGAAATAGACTTTATAAATTTGAAATGTGAATCATGAATTGCATTGTTGATAGCCAACACTACATTATGGGGATCAAAAGCTCTAGGAAAATCCCTAGGATTTCAAAGGTATTTTGCAGGAATATGAAGTGGTCCATTTGGAAGTTCACATGAATTTCCAGAGACCATAATAGTTTAAATAATCAGGTAAAAGAGCAAAATAAAGACCTTCTAACCTGAAAGTTCCTGACCAAGCTACGGCAGTATGGGTCTGGCATGCACACAGAAGGCACAGTAACCATACCAGAGAGATCTGAGAAATGAACTCTAACCTACATGGTTGATGATTTCAAAACCACATAATAGGGGAGAAGGGTCTGCTCCATGCAGTGCAGGGAAAATCCTGAAGCAGAAGCGTGAAAGGAGCCTGTGCTACATAAGTCAGCATGAACACAGACCTTACAAGAAAAAGCTAAAATACAAAAACACTGGAAGAAAACATAGGTGAAAATCTACATAATGGGGCTGCAGGAAAGACTCAGTAGATAGGATGTTGTGAGCTCATATTCCACACAGAGACACATATTACAAAATGTAAATTAATATTTAAGAAACATAAATCATATTTAAGAAAACTACATGATGGTTGTTTTGGAAATGTATTTTTGTATTGGCCTTAAAGACACAGTCAACAAGAGAAAATATAGACAAGTTAGAGTTCATCAAAATTAAAAACTTATAAACACCAAGGAAAATATAATTTTGCACTTACTATGTATGCATTTAAAAGGTAAATAAAGTGGGGCAGTGCCAATGGAGCAACAGGGCTATCCACAAGAAGGAATTGTAGTTCTAAGTGGTCAGAGTTCCCAGACAGAAAACATTGAAATTCAGCACTTAAACTCAATAAACAGTTAGTTGGCTGAAGCTTGAGGTTAGGAGTACTTGCAGAAAGTCCATTACTGCAGAGGGTTAGGTCTCCTCCCTTAGGGAGACAACAATGGATCCCACCCAGGGAGTGGTTTGCCTATAGAATGCTTTGGTCGTAAGCGTGACTTTCCTTGTTCTGGCAACTGAATGTTTAACTAAGAATGTAGCCCACAATCTCCAACTTGTCGGTTTGTCCCTTGTATCATGTTAATGCAGTTTTTATCTTACTCCTACCTCTCGGGGTCAGGGTATTTTAGGCAAATGGAAATTAAACGCGGGTGATTTCAGAATTCACTAGAACTCCCTTCCAGCACGGTTTTATGTTTCAGTTTTATTATTTCACTCATGTCTTCCTTCTCTTTACTTATTTTTCTAATCCCCATACCCCTACCCTGGTAAGTGGTGTCTTAACCGAAGCTGTCTCCAACAACAGGTATATAACGTAGTTGAACCAGACCCCACACATATTCTCCCCCTTCCAACTCTCCAGAATGTCTTTGATTTACAAAGTCAGGAGAACCTGTATACATTTTACACATCAGGATAAAACATTCTGATATCTTATATTTCAGTCCCTTGTGGTTCTGTTTATTGTCCTACTGTTTTTAAGTTCTTCTTATGACATTTATAAAGGGCATCCCATGTGTATTTTGGCATGCGGGTTCTGTGATTATCAAAGCTGGCATTTTATTCAGTATGTAGGCAGCCTGGCAGGCAGTTGCTCATGTGCCTGTCTCGATGGATCTCCCACGTTCTAGAATACAGGCGTGTGACCCATCACCCAGCTCTAGTCCTCCTGTTATATGATTTATGCTCTAATAAAATACTTTTATTAAGTATCACCTACCAGAGAGTCTGCTGTTTGTTTGTTTGTTGTCAACGTGACATAAACTTGAGTCAGCTAGGAAAGGGTACCTCACCTGAGAAAATATGTCCTTCAGATTGATCTGTAGGCAAGTCTGTAGGGTGTTTTCTCAATTAACGACTGAAGTGCAAGGGCCCGCTATGGGTGGTGCCCCCTAGGCAGGTGGTAACCAGGTACACAAAAAGGCAAACTGAATGAGCTGAAAGCGAGGGGTAAGCAGTGTTCCTTCCTCCTTAGTGTTCACTCCAGTTACAGCCTCCGGGTTCCTGCCCTGCTTGAGTTCCTGCCTTGGCTTCTATCTCTGATGGGCTGTAATTAGATTGTGTAAGCCAAATAAATCCTTTCTTCCCTAAGTTGCTTTAATCGTGGTCTTTATCACCGTAATAGAAAGCAAAGTAGAACACAAGGGCTTGACAGAAGCTCTTCATGATGGTTCACTTTGTACCTGAATAGCTAAAACAGTCAACTTGCAATACACTGAATGGTATTGTTTTTACTTTCCAGATCCCTCTGAAACCAGAACTTTAGAGATGCAGATGATTAAGGGGACAAGTATTCTGCGCAAGTCAGCCTCTGCCTCGAGGAAACGCGGGCCCAAAGGTAAAGCAGTAGCTGGCGCACAGATGTGTAAAACAGAACCCTGTTCTTTCCTCCCTGTTTCTAGTTTCCAGTATTTGCAATCTCTGGGCCCTTCCAACATACAGGTAAAGTTACAAAAGCAAGATGTGTTCCGGTATGTTTCCTGTGAACAGACTCCTGGGTAGAGGGCTTTGTTATTCTAGGCAGAGATTCCTCCTTGCCTCTAACAATGGTAAATTGGTGGGTTTCCTTCGTCTCCTATACTCTTGATATTATGTGTGATGTTCTGAACTGAGAATGTTTGAGACTTCTTCACTAGTTCCTTTTAAAGTCACCTTTATATTTCTGTGGTCATGACAGCAGTCAATGGTGCAGTCAACATCCTTGCACAATTTTCTTCTGCCACTTTGTGTCTGTACAACAGACTGTGTGAGTGGGGTGGTTAAATTCGAGACATGTCTGCTCTTAATTCAGTAGCTACAGGATAGAATATCTATGTTCCATTCTAAAATTATTGTAATGTTTAGTGATAGCAGTAACTGCATGAGAAAACTCTTTCCTGGTTCTTAGCACTAGAGTTTTTAGGAACTGAAACATTTAAAAGATTAAATTATACTAGTCAGTTGACAGTAGCACAAAAAAATGAGCTACAAACTTTGGGGGAAAAAATCCCTAGAACCTCAAAGATGTAGTTGAATGTTTTCCTCTGTCACATTGGTCCCCCGGAACAGTTTCTTTCCTGCTCACGGGTCCCCATAGCTGCTTATGAAATAACACTCTGAGGCTTAATATCAATTACAACTGTTTAGCCAATGGCTCAGGCATATTACTGACTAACTCTCATAATTAAATTAACCCATTTCTATTCGTCTGTGTATTATCACAAGGCTGTGACTTACCAGCAATGCTCCAGCATGTTACTCCTTCGGCGGCTATGTGGCATCTTCTGTACTCTTCCTTGCTTCTCTCTGCATCTTTATTTGGATTTCCTGCCTAGCTATATTTTTCCTGGCCATTGGCTAACACAATTTTATTCATCAACCAATAAAAGCAACACATATTCGCAGCATACAGAAGGACATTCCACATGATAAAGATACGTTGTAGAACTAGAAAATTCCATTTTGGAAGCTGCAGAGATTGTTGAGTAGTTAAAAGGGCTTGCAATGAAAGAAAGTGGGGACAGCATTCAGATCCGCAAAACCCATGTAGAATGCAGAGTGCACATGGCAGCCCATCTGTAATTCTAGGTTACAGGGCAGAGACAGGATCTCCGGAGCAATCTGGCTGCTGAGGTTAGTCACACGGATTGGCTCTGGGTTGGATCAATAGACACTGTCTCATTGAATGAGAAGAAGGAGTAAAGGAAGAAGATTCTTCACAAACATCTCTGACCACCACAAAAATATATTTTGGTCTCACAAAAATATATGCAAATACCTCCGCCCCAGTTATACACGTAAATAGAACAAGGGAAAGATCCCTTTCAAATCCACATGGAATCTTGAAACAGTGTCGTAGGTAAATTAATTCAGAACAACTGAGAATGAATCGCACTTCGTAATTGCAGAGCTTACTACAGAGCTACATTAATAAAGACAGCATGATTCTCACAAAAGGCAGGTAACAGAGATCAGTGAAACAGAGACTAATCCCAGAGGTACAACAATGTGATGGCTAACCTCGGCTGCCAGCTTGACGGCATCGGGAATCAGCTAAAACCCAAGTAATTGGGATGCCTGTGAGGGTTTTTCTGACTCTTTTGAGGTGGGGAAACCCACCCTAAATCTTGCGACACCTTCAGGCGGCAGCCCACGTACAAGGACATGGAAATCGAAAGCTTTTGCTTTTCTCCTGCTTTCCCTCATCCTCACTGGTAAGTCCATCCGCCCTGCGGCCGAGGCATTCCTTCACGGGTGTTAGAACCCACTTCATCAGGAGTCCAACACAGACTGAGTTCCAGCAGTCCTCTAGAAATCCTCCAGAGTGCCAGCACCAGGCTGGGACTTCTGGGACATCGAGCTGCAAGGACTCAGCAACTTCCTAGTCTCAGCCTTTCTATCAGGAGACAGCCATTGCTGGACCAGCCAGACCACAGAATGGAAGCAGCTCAAACAAACCCTCTTTTAATACATACACATTCATGCTATCCAGTCCTGTTTCTTTAGAGAGCCCTGACTAATAAGAACAATATGGTGTTAGGAATCAGTTTAACAATATATCTACTTAACAGTATAATGTGGTTATACACGTAGATCATGCAACCTTCAAGATCACTACCCAAAAGATGGTAAGAGTGTAAGAGCCTGAGACAGTGAATGACTGCTAGGAAATATTTTCTTGTGGACACTGCAGGGCAGCTGCACATACGAACTCACAGCAGTCATGACAGCATGAACAAACCCTGTGTAAGTCCAAGTCATACCAAATCTCAGCATGGAGAGGGGTTGGACACACAATCCCAACTGAGGCATGGAGCTATTGGAAATTATTAGCTACTAGTTGGAGACCTGTCTTTCTCTCAGAATGTAGTCACTGGCAAGATAGCCACTCCATTGGAAAAACTACACTCCAAGAATATTTGGGCTCCACAAATTGGTCTTAAAGAAATCAAAAGAAGCCAGGCAATGATGGCACATGCCTTTAATTCCAGCACTTGGGAAGCAGGTAGTCAGATCTCTATGAGTTCGATGTCAATCTGGTCTACAGAGCCGAGTTCCAGGACAGACTCCAAAGCTACACAGGAAAACCCTGTCTCAAAGAGAAAAAAAAGAAGAAGAACTCAAAAGAACCTGTGCACTGGTGGTGCACACCTTTAATCCCAGTACTTGGGAGGCAGAGTCAAGTGGATCTCTGTAAGCCTGAGATCAGCCTACTCTACAAAACAGAGTTCCAGAACAGTCAGAGCTAAACAGTGAAACCCTGTCTTGGGAAAAAAAACTAATTCAAAGAAAAAGGACACAAAGTTAGGAACACAGATTTAACTCGAGAAGGATTAGGGAAGGGAATGTATATAAACACGTTGTGTGAAACTCACAAGGAACTAATAAAGAAAGTGGAAGAGAAGAAAGGAAGGAAGGCAGGCAGGAAGGAAGGAAAAGGAGGGGGAGGAAGAAGAGGAAAAGGAGGTGACCTCAGAAATAAACTCTCATCTGCATTGTCAAGGGCACCAAGACAACTTAATGGGAAAAGGCAGTCTAGCCCCTATAGTGCGGGAAGACATAATGTCCCCAAATAGAAGGATGCCTGAGCCCTTAAATTATACACAAAAATACTTCAGTGTAAGTCAAAATTCTTACAAGTGAATGTTAAACTACAAAATAATAGAAAAATATATAGGGAAAATGTACAGAATAATAAATATGGCTATGTATTTCATAGTTGACATAAAACACAGCCAAAAAGGAAAATTACAGACAAATTTGGTTTTATCAGAATTAAAATTCTTGACATGTCTCTTTCACCAAACAACAGTAGTGCAAGACCCCCAGGCCCATGATTTTACTAGGAATAGGCTTTGACCATGCGCATACTGTTCCTGGAGCTGCCCTCAAATGCAGTCGCAAGTACTTGGTTATCTCCAAAACAGTCATGCCACGATTGTACCAGTAGACAAACCTTGCTGCACAGTTAGCATTATGGGTTACATGGCACACAGTTGGTTGAGAACTTTAATGAGTTCCCTTCTCCCCAGGTAGCATGCATGGCGCTTTCAAGCACAGTGAACAATAGCCAATAGGGAGCAACTTTGTAGTGTAGTCCCGTCTTGATATCTCTGTGCCCTGGATAAACTGTGTGATATATTAACCAATCACATCTAGTTATGTAAGTCTGGTGGGTAACAAAAAGCAATGACAATAGCATATGTTCTTTGGGAGGCGGGGCTCACAGACTTCTCTGGTCCACCACCTAAATGGGATGTTTAAAACATCATACCCAAACGGACCAGGAAACATTACTTAAGAGATGTCCCAAACAATTTAAGAGCAGGAAGATGGGAGTCATTGCCATGAATTGCTTCCATGAAGATACAACACTGCTGCTGTAACCATAAACACAGAGCAGCTGTGGATACTAGCCAGGATTATCTTTTCAATTATCCATCAAGAACGGAGGGCTTGTCAACGAGACCCCACCCACTCTGAGGACACGGCGACTATCAATGTGTATTGCATTATTTCTTTTCCATATTGTTGTATCTACCGTGGGACTAGGAGGAAGAATATTCACGAAAAACATTGACCCCAATCACAGAGAGGCAACACTTCATAGTCATTGTATGGCTATTGGAGAGAAAACAGAAAGGAAAGCAGAAAGCGAAAGAAAAAATTATTGACATTTACAAGTGTGCAAGAAAGAACAGTCTGTGGGTGCGGCCTGTAACCCCATTTCCTTGGGAGGCTGATGCAAGAGAATGACATGTTCACACCTACCCTGAGTAGTGGTAATGGTGAGACCATGTCTCAAAGTTGTCAGAAGCAAGAGGTGGGATTAATATGGTTCAGAGGTGGAGTACTTACTTGCCTTGAAACAAACAGAAAAGGAGAATAAATTTTGGTAAGGATGTCAAGAAATTATAAACAGGTGGGGGAGGGTTATCAATGGATAAAGGCACTTACCACTAAACCTAACATGAATTCCATCCCCTTAATACATGCTAGAAACAGAGAACCTACCTGTTCCAGTTGTCCTTTGACATCGACAGTTGCAAATAAATCCACTGTAATTTAATGTTTTCAGAGAGAAAAAGAAGTCATGACTAGATACACATGGTGTCCCCTATGCTGCAGTAGGCTTAACCAGCTTCTCCTGTATCCCTGCCACCTGCAGTACAACTGGTCTCTCAATCTCAGTGACCCTCTGGACCCTAGAGTGTCTATTGCTGGGAGGAGACACCATGACCGTGGCAACTCTTTAAAGGAAAACATTTAGTTGGGTTGGCTCGCTTACAGTTCAGAGGTTCAGTCCATTATCATCCTGGTGGGACATGGCAGCATGCAGGAAGACATGGTGCTGAGGAAGTAATTGAGAGTACTACGTTGTGCAGGCAGCAGGAAGTGGTCTCAGTCACACTGAGGGAAGCTTGAGCAAAAGAAACCTCACAGCCCACCCCCACAGTGGCACACTTCCTCCAACAAGGTCTTATCTCCTCACAGTGTCACTCCCTGTGGGGGCCATTTTCTGCCAAACTGCCACACCCTCGTTCACATTTGACGATCTGATCACAGAGAGAGGGAGATGTTCTCCTTGTGTGTGCAGAATGTGAGAGTAAATGGATTTGCTCCAGAGCATCCAACCCGGGAAACTGAAGGAAACTCCCAAGTGCATGTAGTTCATACAAGCACTTGCCTGGATGCACTTGCCTGGATGAACGAACATTTGAATGTTTCATTCTTGTGCAAGACATACAATGTCGAAACTGAAAACATTCTTATATACTTAGCCAAGTTTGAGGGCAGCTTCTCTAACAGACATGAGTCTACTTTACTTCAGCATGTGTCCCAATGGAGAGATAATGAATCTATATTTTTTACATTTTTATTTTATTTTGTGTGCTGGGAACCGATTCTGGGTCCTTGGGAAGAGCAGTGAGAACTCTTAGCCCCCGAGCCCCACAATCTACATTTTTTGTCATATTTTCCTTTTAGTAGTATCCCAAATATACACAGCTATATTTCTTATGCTCTCCCTTTATTCTTGCACTTTTTTTCCTTGTAGGAATATCAATTTCTACTTAAAAGCACAACCTTAGGGGGCTAGGGAGATGGCTCGGCGTTAAGAGCACTTGCTGGTCCTGCAGAGGACCAGGGTTGGATTCCCAGAAGCCACGGGACAACTCAAAACTGTCTGTCCCAGAAACCCAACCCAGGCAATCTTCTGGCTTCTGTGAGCACCAGGCATGCATGTGGTACACAGGCATAAATCAGGCAAAGCACTCATATGAACAAAATATTTAAAAAGAAAATTTTACATAGAAATTAAATTTTATCTGAAAATTTATGTTGCAGTCACTCTTTGTTTTCGTTCTGACACGATGGCTTTTTAAATTCGTTTTCTGGCATTGTTACGTAGCATTTCTACTTACTTTCCGAGACAAGTGTGCACAGCAAAGTTGGCATCCAGCTTGGTGTGTAGCCAGACTGGCCGGCAGGCAGCCGTCTCCCTGGCTTGCCCTCCCAAATGCCAGGACAGACACTCTTCTCTTTTATTCCTGACTAGCACTTTGGTGCTCTTCCATAAAATAGCAACACTAGGCAAGGCTACTTCAGACACTGTCCACTTGTGCTGATCAAAGTGCTTTAACTGAACAACTGAGAGAGGATAACTTGAGAAATTAATTTATTGCCAGTATTATTCAATGTGTCCCCCCCCCAATTTTTTTCCAGGTCTGTCCAAGCCTACAAAGATAGGCGGTAAAGGCACTCAACTTCCAAGTAGTCTTCACATTTCAAATTTGACTTCCAAGAAGAATGTGCTTAAAGGTAGGGAGTCCCTGTCATCCACCTGTGGGGCATAGAAGTCTTCCACCCCGTTGTTCCATTTACCAGACCTCCCAACAAGCAGCCAGTTACGATGCCAGCGTGTTTCCCATAAGCAGATACGTGTGTGGTTCTGCACAGTAATAGACAGAATCCTGTGCATGGATCCTTCTGGTCTCTAGCCCAGTAAAATTAGTCCTTTTTTTCTTCAAAGTTCAAACCTTTCATTTTCTGCGTGATATTCTAAAATTAGAGTATGTCATACCTCCTCAGTGACTCCTTTTTATGTGATCTCTATATTTCTATTGCTGCGAACACAATCAGAAGTATAATAACTACCACTGCACAGAAAATTACCGGTTTCTGGCTATACCATAGAAAGTATAAGTGGGATTGGTGTGGGATTCCCCTCTGTATGCTGTGACTATGTTTTATTACCATTGGTTAATACAGAAGCTGCTTTGGCCTAGGGCAGGGCAGAATAGAGTTAGTGAGAAAACTAAACTGAATGCAGGGAGAAAGAAGGCAGAGTCAGGCAGACACCCATGTAGCTGCCGAAGGAGAAAGATGCCGGAACCTTACCAGTAGACCACAGCTTTGTGGCAATACATAGATAAATAGAAATGGGTAAATTTAAGATGTAAGAGCTGTCTAGGAATACGCATGAATCATTGGCCAAACAGTGCTGTAATTAATATAGTTTCTGTGTGATTATTCGGGTCTGGGCAGCTGGAAAATGAATGCTCAACCTCCAATTACATGGGATTGTTGGATTCAGGGCACGTACGCTCTTCATTCCACAGATACTGTACAAGGTGTCTACATAACCAATCTAGAATGGCTGTAGTTAGTAGCCATGGAAGCAACTGCTGGGAGAACTGTTCCCTGATTCTTGGCACGACATTTTTTTTTCTAATGAATTGAAAATATTAAGAAGATAGGTTATACCGGTCAGCTAACAGTAGCACAGAATGTAATGTGAAGAGTCTAGGGGACACCCCTGGAATTCAAAGACATGCTGTAGAACGAGAAAAGTCCATTTTGGGGCCTTTGGAGATGGCTCAGCAGTTTGAGCGCCAGAGAACATCCCTCTAGGCAGCAGAGTGTGGTCAGGTCTCAAATTTTTCAGTGAGAACAAGGGAGGGAATGGATGCAGTGCATCGGTGGAGAACTTACCTAGCATGCGAAACGCCTACTTCAAACAATCAAAAAACAGAGGGAATATCAGCAAGGATGTCAGCGTACAAGCAGAGGTTCCGTCACCTCCAGCAGGCACGGGCGACCTCCTGTCTACACCCCTGCCGTCTGCAGCGCGGCGGTCTCACGTTCTCAGAAAATCCCATCTATTACAGAGAAAGGCTTCACAGCGTTCTCCTTTCTGTTCATGTGTCTTCCGAAGGCTGTTCCCACCTTTGCCGTGTGGTCCAGTTCCTGCACCTTGAGTCCTATCCCTGCTTCTCTGCTTCCTGCATAAGCGATTCTACAGGCGAAGCTTTCCCCTGAGGCTTCTGTTTGACTTCTTCAGTTTTCCTTTCCAGCACCATTTCAGTTTAAGATTTTCTCCTCCAGTTATCTCCATTTCACGTCTTGTATTGACCGCCTCATTTCGTTTGAAATCTGTTTCCATTCTCTGGAAGTACACTCATGCGTTCTTTGAGTTGTTCAAAATGCTTACACTGTACTTTTTAATTCCTTGGCTTGTTATTCTAAGTGACTTCTCCATTGTCACCATTACTATGGGACTAGTGGTTTGTGGAGAATGCATGTTGTCTTGGTTTATCATGTTTCTGCATCTGCACTAGGGCCTGCACATTTCGAGTTAGTCATCTTTATTTCTCTCTTTTGGATTTTTTTTTTTGTAAATTTTATTAAATTATAAAAGTTTCCATTTCCGCCCCCCCTCCCAACACCCTCCCACTCCCCCCACTCCCCCCCTCCTTCCCCTCCGTCCCCAGGGCAGTCAGGGTTTCCTGCCCTGTGGGAAGCTCCAGCTCCCTCCCCCTCCCTCCAGGTCCAGGAAGGCGAGCGTCCAAACAGACTGGATCCCCAAAATCCAGCATATGCAGAGGAAACAGGTCCCAGTGTCATAGTCAATGGCTTTTCAGAAAGACCCCGGGCCAGCCACAGTCAGAGAATCCGGCCAAAATCTGGCTAGATCACGTCCTCGTTCAGTCCCAGTCCGACTGGCCCTGGTAAACTCTCATCAGATCCGTTCCCTTGTATCAGTGGGTGATAGCATCCCTCGCAGTACTGATTTCGTCTTTCATGTTCTTCCTCCTTCCGCTCCCCCTCCGGACCTCGGGGGGCTCAATCCGGTGCTCCAATGTGGGCCTCCGACTGCATAGCCGTCCTTCGCCAGACGAAGGATCTATGGTGATAAGCAAAATATACATCAGTATGGTCATGGGCCACGGCCGATTCAGGCACCCTCTCCTCTGTCCAGAGAGCAATCTGGGGGATTTCTCCTTGGACCTGGGATGCCATATATAATCAAATCTCCTGTAAACCCTAAAATGGCTCCCTTAGTTGAAATATATTGTTCCCTGATCCCATATTCATCCTACCTCCCTCCCCCCCCCCATCCCCGGCCACCAAGCTTTCCCCGTTCCTCCCCTACTCCCTTCTCTCTAGCCCTCTCCCCCTCCATCGACCCTCCCACCCCCCCCATGCACCCGAGGTTACCTGGGACTCTTGTCTATTTCCTACCTCCTGGTGGATAGCTAATTATTTTTAAAATCCGAGTCATCTTTTTTTTTTTCTTCAGTGATGGTATTTGCAGTATTGAGTAGAAGACTAAGGCCTAGGAGGGTTGGGGTCTCCATTCCCTCTGTGGGGTGGCATTTAGGTCCGGAGGCTTCATCTGGCATATTCCTCTAATTGTTAGTCCGAGTTCTGTGTCCCCTAGTGTCTCCTACCTGGTTCTTAAGCTTTCATGTGAGCTGCGAACCCCTTTGCACACCTGTAGGCCTTGCCCAAAGACAAATCTGGTCCTTAACTTGGATTCATAGACACCTCTGAAGCTTCTAGAAGATGTGGAACATTGTAAGCACCAGCGGCCCTAACCTGGAATCAAATATGATCCCATTCTAGGTCAGTTTCCACTGAAGGGACTGGGAAATGGGGTCCCATTTATCAGACATCTTCTAATGACCCTGCATGCTACAATTTATTTTACCAGTTGTATTCAAATAGACATCAATCCTATTTTTTCTTTCTTCCTTTCTTTTTTAATTATATATATATTTTTTTAAAAAAAAAAAAAGAAAACAAACTATCTTTTTTCATTTTACATACCAATCCAAGTTTGCACTCCCCAGTTGAGCCTGTTTCCGTGTTCATGCTTCAGTGCCATTGCCGTGTGGTCACATCAGTATGTCAGTCTCTGGCTCCACTCAGTCCCTGTACATTTCTTCTTGTTTCTGTTTTTTTAATACTCTGGATTTTTAGTTTAGAGCATGTATATACATGAAAGGCATAGACCAGTGTGCCGTGGTGTGCCTATGGAAATCAGAACACAACACTGTGGAGTTAGTTTTCTCCTTTTACATGGATTCTGGCTAAACAAACTCAGTTTACCAAGATTTGGGAGAAAATGCCTTTTCAGGCTTAACCGTTATGATACCAAGCCCTGAGTGTTGTTTTCATTATGAGAGTGGTTTAAAATTTGATGTTAATTTTTTTTCTAATACCATTGAGTGACATTGTTCTTGTGTTTCCAGGGCAACCTAAACCTACAACATTAGACAAGAAAGGTGTTAACCGTCTAAATAATCTGGTTCCTTCAACACCTGCCTCCAGTAAGGGCGGCCTTAAAGGTAAAGGAGTCTCTGTAATACAGACCTGTGAGGTGATTCTCTGCCTTCCAGGTCCGTGGTTTCTGTTTACCTGTATACTCAAGCATGGGCCCTTCCAATGAGTGGCCATTGTGACAAGCACAGCAGGTTTTGCACAATCTCTACCTAAAGAGATGGGGGTGTGGAGGGCTTTGCGGTTCTGTACAACAAAGGACCCCATGTGTGGACCTCCCCCCCTTACCACTAACCTAAGTGAGTGGATGCACTTCCTTCATCTCTCACAGCTTTGCTTTTCTGCATGATGGTCTGAAAAGGGAGGTCATAGTTACTCAATATCTCACTCATAGAGAGACCTTTAGGTTTTTACTGTGACAGCCACCATCAGTGGAGCTGTGGTATCATTGAACACTTTTTATTACATTGTTTGTGTTTCTATCAAACATGGAGGAGCTGGGATGGACTCAGAGCTCCAACAAAGCAACACTTCCCCCAGCAAGGCCACACCTACTTATAGTGCTTCTCAATGAGCCATTTTTACTCAAACCATTACAGAGTACCTGAGGGATAAAAGTTAATAATTCTGCCGGAAAATTCATGATGAAAAAAGCTATCTCCTTTGCCTTAACCAGCATTAATCTTTTGATAGATTAAAAATATTAATATTAAACTATGTGTTACTTTGGGTGTTTTTGAGACAGGGAATCACTACATGGACATTGAATGGCCAAGTACTTACTATGTAGACCAGACTGGCCTCAAATTCATAAAGATCTACCTGCCTATGTCTTTCAACTGCTAGGATGAAAGGTATGTGACACCGTGCCTAGCGTGGAATTATATTTTAGGTGTCAAAACAACAGAATACGGTCTGAAGAGTCTGAAAAGTTTCTTTGAGAATTCCAAAGACATTTTACAAAAATATAAAAGTTCATTTTCAAATTCAGATGACCTCTCCAAATACTGTGATGGTCAAATAATCTCGTCAAAGAACCCAGTAAGAGGAGTCATGCTTCATGATTTCAGAGCTTACTCCCAAGCAGGAGACAGACGACACCCAGGCCAGTGAAACAAAGAGAGATCCCAGAATTAAACTCACCTCTGTGGCCAACTGCAGAGTGTGGAGAGGGCCATCTGCCAGAGATGGTGCTGGGTAAACTAAATATCCTATGGAGAAGCATGAAACGAGGGCCCTTATCTCAAATTATGTTCAAAACCCAATTAAAAATGAATCAAAGACCCATAAGTAAGAACTAAGCTATAAATGTAACTAAAGACAACCTAGGAGAAACCCTATGTGACACTTGATTTGCCGGTGTAGTTTTGGATGGACAGCAAAGACCTTACGATCTGGGGTAGGACAGGGCTTCACGTGTGCTGGCAGGCACTACTGACTGAACCACACCCCAGCCCCTCCCTCCATCCTCACACTGTATCCTTTATTAGGGGGATCACACCTTCTGTTGAGAAGACTGCTGTAGTCAAAACAATCACAAACAAACTTGGGGATTTAAACTATAACTTAAATTTTACATGTTAGCCGCTCCTGGTTTTTATTTACTTTTCTGCTGATTTTTAAAGTTATTTATCTATAGCGTTGTATTTGGTTTTGGGACAAGGTGCTGTGTGTTGGAAAGTTGGTACTGCACTCCATATGTGAGAAGACTGACAGTCTGGTACCTGCCTTCCTGCCTCAGCCTCCCAAGTGCTGGGATAACAGGGGTGCACCAACTCCGTATCAACTTCCAGGCTAGGGCAGCTCTAACAGAATCCGTTTGTGTTGACTGAACTGCTTTATATAGATGGCTAAACACTCAGAAGGAAACTGTGCTTTAGAGAAAATTAAAATTTATTATTTTAAAAGTTGCAAATCATTTTATTACTAGCATCATCTACTGATGTTCTTATTTTTCAGAGCAAAATAAGTCTGTAAATGTGGACAAGAAAGTTGCTGATGGTCCTTATAGTCTGAACACTTCAACATCCTCCATAAAGAAACAGATGCCGAAAGGTAATGAGATACCTGGCCTCCACGTGTGTGAGACAGAGCCCTGCCCTGTCACTTCCGTGTCTGTTTGAGTATTCCCCGGCATGTGGTCTCTTCCGACACATAGCTGACATTATAAGCGCTGTCTATGTTCTCAGTCTTTTCCTGGGAGTACACATGTCTGTGGAGGGCTTGGTGGTTCTGTACACTGATAGGATCCTCTGCATCGATGCCTCTTACCTCTACCCCAAAGGAATTAATAACTTCCTTCTTGTCTCACACCCTTAATATTCTGCATGATATTCTGAAATGTAAACATATCACACATCAATAGTCCCTTTCTGAATCACCTTTAAATCTCTGTTGTAACCACAGTCAATGGAAGTATAAGTATTATTGCACACATTTTTATTACACTACTCATGTTTCTATGAAGTTTTTTAGAAGAGATTGTTAAATTAACACCCTACACGTGTTCTCAGTTTTAATAGGTATTAGAAAACAATTTCCTGAAAACCACAATTAGCATCTGATTCCCAAAGACCCATTCTACTGTACCACCCCATCCCACCACCATCCCCTCCTGCTTCTGTGCCCGAGGCCCCGACACAGGCAGACCTCCACTGCCCGG